ATTTATTTTTTATTTTTTATTTTTTATAGAAGATAGTTTACTGGCAAGCTATTCAGATATGCCAGTGAGACATAGGTACTTAAAGCCTGCTGATTCCAAGTGTTTTAAGTCTGAAACCCAGGTTTTCAGAAGATATCTAGTGCTGCTTCTGCTCAGTGCTTGAACAGCTACTGGATTCAGAGTAGATTTCCAAAATAACTATACAAGAACCTAAAACTAATTTGTAGAAATTAGTAGTAGAGTTCCACATTAAACATTAGACCATGCCTATTTACTCCTATCCACGTGGCCATCTTCACGGTTGTGGTAATAAATCTACTTTGCACAGTCAGTGATTCAGACCAGAGTAGTGGTCCATTGTAAATACATTTATTTGCACTATTTTAGTGTCCATTCTTCTATTCAGGGCTTAGCATGACAATAAAACATGGAGGATGTGAGAACCCGCTTGAATCACATAAAGAACTGCTGCAAAGAAGAGAAAAATGAACTGTTTTCCATATTTTTAAAGAATACAACAAGCAATAGAAAGCTTAATTAGGAGTTAATTGGGAATAAGGAACAACATGAGGAAAAATCACAGCAGTAAAAATATCTCTGGAATAATTTCTTATACAGAATTCATTACTGGAGATTCTGAAGATCAGGTTGGACTACATCACAGAACTTAAAAACTGCTACCTCAAAGTTATTTGGATCCAGAAGGAAGAGAAAGGAATGGTAACATCTCTTCCAGCTCTAGTTTCTGTGATTTGTTTCAGATTTTTAAGACAGTGATACGCTCTCTGATTAGTGATGTTCCTAATGCCGTTTAAGTGAGCAAAGGAAATCAGATAGATTGAACACGCTTTGCTAGAGGAGAGGAAACAAAACGTTACTCGTAGGTATGGACTGCAAAAAGTAGCTGAAAAAGCTGCTGTCATGAGTGGAAATCCAGAAGTGCCAAGGAAGTGGAGTACAAGGGGCAGAGAACACCTTACAGTGCACCACTCCTGCAGCCTTGCTCCATCGCCAGTGTGAAAACTGCGAGCTTCTGTAGAGTCTCATCTACGTGGGAAGTCCTCCTTTCTGCAGGTAGGGCTGAGAGTTTGAGGAGTGCTGGATCTGCAGATTCAGAAGATCTTCCCTACATAGGTGCCTGTTGAGAGAACTCATTTCCAAGGTACGGAGAAATCTGCATTCATCAGAACTCGTGATTTGGGATCTTTGTAACTTGCTTGGTATTTGAACAGTTAAAGGAAATCCTATCTACTCCAGCTGGGTCTTCTCTGCATAACTGACCCATTCGGCTTGATCTGGTATTGGATTGTTTACGTAACTTCAGTAATTAACCACTCTCAACCTCATTAATGAAACATAAACCACCTCTTCTACTCATTTATTAAGCCCTTGTCAAACAAAACTTAAACAAAGGGCAAAATCTCAGCAAAGGAACAGTCCAAAAGCTACTGGGATCTGCCTACAAGTCGTTATGGCCACTTTGTTGTTGTTTTGCAGTACAAATTAAACAGAAGCGATGGCACTGTCTATTGCTTTTGGCTAACTTCTCACAAAAACATCTGAGGTCTGTCACATGAGGGCAATGATGCCTCCACAACTATTTTGGTCATTTCAGTGCAAAATACCGATGTTCCAGTTCATTACTGTAAATCATTAAATGATGAAAGCAAGAGTCAAATACTAAACAAATGGGATACTTTGGAAAACTAATTGCTTATTACAGTGTTCTTTGTTATATGTGAGTTAAAGGTTACATTGAAATATAGGTTATTTCATTACAGGATTGAGTTGTTTTTGCTAGCAAACTGTTCTGAATAGTATTAAAAAGAGTATCAACCAAAAAACCAGATGTGCTAAAATGTTCTAAGTTAACCTTTACCTATTTTTGTGCTAGAGAAATATTTTAGAGGTGGGCTGGCAGACGTACAAAAAACATTGAGCTACTTAAATTTAGAATCTGTTGAGGAACTCATGGGAAAAACAAAAGGAAAGAAATGGCAAGTTTTCTGATTACCTTCTCTTATAGATTATTTGTTAATCTTCAAAAGATGCAGTGGTTCTGGCACTGCTTTCTGCATGGCATGGATGAGCCTCAGCCCTGAGTGAAAACCAGTTTAGGTGGTTGTTATTCTAAAGTGTAATTAATCAAGATGTTTGAGGGACACATTTCTATTGTCAGCATCTGCCTCTTTTGCCTGCAACAGGGATCACCTTTGTCTGAACACTTTTAACTACCGAATTGAGTACAAAGGGTCAGTGCCTGTCTTGTCCTGCATACAGCCTCATTGGTTGGACTAAATTGCTTAAGATCCAGTGTAACACTTCTAATAATATTAATACATATATGTGCTCTTTGTATGATAAGTTCACGTGTTTTAAATGTGCTAATTTCTGCAGCTTCACAAAGTGTGTGTGACATTTCCTTTGAGCATTGGTTTGCACAGCTCTTATCTTCCCTACAAGGAGCTTTTTGAAGCAGTGTTATTTATTTGCATAAATTAAAGACTAGCAGTCTTCATAGAGCAAAACAATCTGTTTCAGCAGAGGAAGGAGCGTGAGACTGGTCAGGGGAATTCATCACGCAGTGCCTTTCAGTTTGAATTAATACATTATTATGAATTATTACTTTGCTGCCAGTTTCTGGGTACGTTAAGGGCCTTACTTGGTGCACATTGTTTTGGAATCCTCAGGACCTGAATTCATCCCAGCTTCAGTGCTGAGAATTCAGTGCTGTGTCTGATATCAACCCCTTTAATTGCCCTTCCTCTGCTTCTCTGGTCTGCCCAGAGTTCTTTCAGATTTTCCAACTGCGTGCTTGAGCCTCCTAATGAACGATACTCAGAAACACTTATGTGTTTATTCCACCACAGAAATGCTATTGGTGATTTTACCAAGATGGCCCAGAAGTGGGTTTGCTTCTATAGCAGCTTTACTGTTTTGGAGAGCCTCAATTTATATCTATCTAGCATGTATTTTTCCTGCTAGAACAAATCCATGTTCTGTTTGACAAAATACAGTCATGTGCTTAAGAGTTATTAAAAGCATTAAAGCACTAACCTCTTGTAACCTCATTTTTCACTTTGTACACATACATAAGTGTTTAATCGAATTGAAGTTAAACACTAAGATGCTTGAGAGGCCAAATTTATACATTCTCTTCAGTTTATACAGAACTGATGTGATAAGCCAAAGGAATTATAAGACACCACTACTCTGAAAACGCTCATCCGTTGATTTGTTTAAGCTCTGTTGCTACAGAATAGAAGTTCTGGTGAGAAGCATGCCTAGCATTTAAATCAAGGAGTTTTGTCCTACTGGGATCGGATCGGCCCTGGCGCCACACTAAGCTCATTCTGCTGTCCTCTGGAAGTTGAACAAATGATTCTGTGTCAAGAGATGGGCTGGAGAGAGAGCGACACCAGACTGAGAGCTCTGCAGTGGGAGCACAGTAGGACTCCATCTTCTTTTCAATCTGCATTTTTATTTTAGATGGTCAGAAACCCACAGAAGGGCTGCACGGATCCTGAAATGGAAGCCTGATAATAAGCAGCGTCTCTCCCTTGTCTCCACTTGGTATGAAAGGTTAGCATGTTATCTCTGAAGCCAGGGAAAAGTAAGCATTAAATCATGCCCAAAGGGAAGTAGAAATGCAAGGAACAGAGCAGAGCAAACAGATTCAGACATACAATCCAAGTGCAACTCCTGCTGAGATCATTCCTGCTGCACAGGACTGCTTGTTCTTTTATCTGACTTCACAGCTGCTATGAATTGCAATTGCTGGTGCTACATTGATCTTACTGGGTACCCCCATCTGTAAAACAAAATTTGAATGCTACAGGTTGCAAATTTGATATCACAGACCTTCCTTAATTAGAATAGGGTGAAAGATGAGAAGATACTTAACTGGTATGAAAAAGGAATCCTGATGACAACTACATTTTTGTTGTGTGTGTGTGTCTCAAAGGAGATTTAAGCTTGAAAGGCACATCCTGCTAACACACTGCTGAAAATACTGCTTACAAAGTTGGCACTATCAAATAAAAACAACGAAAAGTTAAGCAGCAGAGACATCACGGGTTGCTAATGGTGGTTTCAGTTAGCAAATAACAAAGAACGAAGTCAGCATTACAGAGCTTGTTATTTTAACTTGAGTAGAGGATGTTTACTGTTCGAGGGACAAACAAGAATACAGATAAGATGTCAGCTCAACAGACCTCAGCCCAGAATTTATCACACACTGCTTAAAGGAGTTTTAAATAAAGATAACCAGGACCCCCCATGGGTCACGGCCACCTGCCCTCTGCAAACAGCGTCCATTAATGGCTCCTGGGCTGCAGCTTTCCGCGTGGTCCCCTTGTGCTCTGAGAGCCACCTCGTGCGTGAGAACAGGGAGCTCTGAGAGCCGTCCGTGTGTGGAGTGCCGGCACGGAGAATCACAGAATCACGGAATCACCAAGGTTGGAAAAGACCTTTAAGATCATCCAGTCCAACCATCCACGTATCACCAATAGTACTCACTAAGCCATGTCCCTCAACTCAAAATCCAACTGTTCCTTGGAAATCACAACACACAGGTTAAGACATCGATCTGATGCAGGTTTCTTTGTGCTGCTATTTTCGTCGTGAGCTTGCCTCCCCTCAAAACAAACAAACATAAAAGCAAAAAAAGAGAGTTGTATTATCCTTTTGAAATGACACCGTTAACAAGAGCCCCGTTCCCAGCCGGCCTCCATCCATCCATCCATCCATCCATCCATCCATCCATCCATCCATCCATCCATCCCTCCATCCATCCCTCCATCCCTCCATCCCTCCATCCCTCCATCCATCCACCCCGCGGCGATGTGGTGCTCAGTGCGGCCGCCAGGCGGCGCCGCGGTCTCAGCGGCTGCTCCGGGTCTCCACGCATGCGCAGCTGCGGCGCGAGGAGCGCGGCCCGGAAAAGGCGGCGGAGCTCCCGGTGCGGCTCGTGGTTCGCGGCTCGTAGCTCGGACTGCCCGCTGCGCGGTCCGGGGCGCGCACTGCCGGCCATGGGGCCGCCGCGGGAGTGAGCAGCGCGGCCCTCCCTGCGTTCATCATGACCTGCACCATCGAGAAGATCCTCACGGACGCGAAGACCCTTCTGGAGCGGCTGAAGGAGCACGACACCGCAGCCGAGTCGCTCATCGATCAGTCCGCCGTCCTGCATCAGCGCGTGGCCGCTATGAGGGAGGCGGGCGCGGCGCCGGTCGAGAAGGGCAGCGCGGCGGCGGCGCCCACAGCCGCTTCTCGGCGGGGCCGGAGCGTCCCGGCGGATGGAGCAGACGGCTCTCGGCTGCGGCCGCACATGTTGCTGTGCCAGGAGAACACGCAGATCCGCGACCTGCGGCAGGAGAACCGCGGTGAGCCGGCCGGGATGGGCCCGGGGGAGGAGGGGGGGGCCGGGGCCGCGCTGCGCTGCGCTGGGCGGCTGTTATCGGAACGGTGCGAGGGGGCTGCTGGCTGTCAGCGCGGCGGGGGGTCGCGTGGGGCCGCCGAGCGGTGCTGAGGGCAGCCGGGTGGCCTCCGAGGTAACGCCGTGCTGCGATCCGTGTCCCTTAGCGCTGTGGATCTCTCTGGAGGAGCACCAGGATGCGTTAGAGCTGATCATGAGCAAGTACAGAAAGCAGATGTTGCAGCTGTTGCAAGGGAGAAAAGGTGAAGATGCGGAACCGGTCCTGAAAGTTCATCAGGCCAACTCTGTGGTAAGGTGGGGTGGAGCGGGAGGGGGAATAGGAAACTTGCTCTCTTATTGGTCTCCTTTCATGGCCTCACTGTGCTCCAGGATGTGTTCTTTGAAGCTCTGGTTCCTTTAGTATATTTTTTCCCTGCATTCTTTTTACAGCATCCGGGTTGTAATGGTTGTCATAGAGGATCCTGACCAGCACAAGCCTTTTGTTGCCCACGTGAAAGCTTGTTGTGTGTGCGTTGAGTTACTTTCCTTGGGTTAAGCTTTAATGAATCACAGAATCACAGGATGGCCCGGGTTGGAAGGGACCTCAAGGATCACGAAGCTCCAACCCCCTGCTGCATGCAGGGCCACCAACCTCCACATTTCACACCAGCCCAGGCTGCCCAGGACCCCATCCAACCTGGCCTTGAACACCTCCAGGGATGGACGGGGCATCCACAGCCTCTCTGGGCAGCTGTTCCAACACCTCACCACTCTCATAGCAAAGAACTTCCCCCTGAATGGCTTTGTTTTCACTGAAGAGGACCACATCAGAGGTGTTACCGTTACTATTGAGCAATTGTAACAAAGGGAAAAGAGCCTCCAAAATCCCTGTAAGCTGAGGTGTTCTGAGGGCTTAATAAATGATCACTTCCAAATACTTTTAAATACAGATAGGCAGTACAACAGCCTAACATATGTGTGTAACTCTGTGTGTGACATAGAGTGTCTTCAGGAGGCCAAGGAGTGACTGCTGATAACTGTCTCTTGGTTTACATTTAGATATCTGATAATGCAGTAATGTAGGGTATGTGATTAAAGGTTATTGTTAGGTATTTACTGCATAAACGTGCATTTGTAATGCATTTATAATGCATGTTTATGTGATGAGAACATAGCAGGCTGGCTCAACCTAACAAGATCTCATATCTTGTGGGTTTTTTTGTTTAATTCTCTTTTGTGCAGTTTAGGGGTCTTCCATTGCTTGCTTATGTGCACAGATTGCTTTATTGATGAAGACTTATAATTTGGACAGAACTTCTAACGTTCCCTATCACTGTTTTTTGCTTCACTGTAATGGCACAGGAATACAAAGCTGGAAGGACTTTGGAGAAACCTCTTCTACCATGGTGGGATATACCTAGACTACTGTCTCCTTCTCTGGAGATGTTCAAGTCACGCCTGGACACCTACCTGTGTGACCTGGTGTAGGGAACCTGCTTTGCAGGGGGGTTGGACTCTATGATCTCTAGAGGTCCCTTCCAACCCCTACAATTCTGTGATTCTGTGAAATGCTAAGGCAAAATCTTCTGTACTTCATACTAAGTTTATGAATTCTTTCATACTTTCACACACTTACGACTTCAGAGAACAGATACCACCTTTTAATATCTTTTGATATTTGACATTCTTATTTAACCATCTTTCTGTTTGACAGACACATCATTCTCAGATGATGTAATCTTGTTCCTCCAGCTCTCTAGGTGCTCTAATCTGCTTACATGTTCGCTCAATATTGGAATTCAAAACTGGGTTCTCTTCTAAGGTGGCACATCTGTCTTCCAGTGGCACAGCAGAGTAATTGTGGGCATTTATTGAGAGGAAACCACACCCTATAATGCTGTGATGTTTCCCACAGTACCTTGTGATATCATATTATGTTGTAATAAATGCTTCAGAGGCTTCTAAATCCTTGTTTTATAACTCTTTGTGAATGGCTGATGTGTTTGTGTTCACATGCATGAGTTCCTCCCTACGAATGTTATTTTGGAAATGGAATGTTCTTCAGATAAGAACGTTGTGTTACGTGTTGGAATAGTTCTGTATGAATTATACACTTATTTCTGAGCTTTAAAAAGAAAAAAAGGCAACTACCAAAGGACTGGGAGTATTTCTAGACAGACTCTGTTGGAAACTAATGCAGGAGATACCAGTCTTCTTTGTTGTTCAGTGGTTTTGTTTTTGGTTTGTTGTTTTATTCAGTCTTAAAGTTTTACTTGCATTTGTGTCAGATGTTCTTATAAATCCAGTCAAGCTTTTCTAGCAAGTCAGTGTAGAAATTGCCGTATACTAATTGTATTCACTTGAGCAGGAATCTGATCTCTTAGTCCTTGTCATACTTGAAATGATTTCCATGTGTGTGAAGGTGCAGCACTGACTGTTCTGCTCACTGTTTTCACTGATGACTGATGATAGTGGACAATAAGGTACATGATGCTATCCTAAAATGTTGCATAAGCAGGGAGGATTGTGAGTGGTTGGGAGAAAAATATTAAAATTCAAAATAGGAAAGTAGTCCAGAATTAATGAGATGAAAGTAAATGATTCATAAGGAATATATTGCTACTGCTTTTGCCTGAACATATTAACTGTGGGTTTTTTTCCATGTCTTTCAGGAAATTGAAGGTCAAATAGATAGAATATGTGAGATGGGTGAAGTGATGAGAAAAGCTGTACAAGTTGATGAGGATCAGTTTTTTAAGGTTCAGGAGAAACTAGCTCAGCTGGAGGTAAGAGCCCATGTCATTGCTAAGGACAGATCAAGCTTTTGGAGCTCTAGACTTGCTCTAGAGTGTGATTGTGTGTGTCAGGTACTTAATAACAATAAAAAATGGGGATGGTGGGTGAGGTTGGGAGGCAAGGAATGTTTTCTGTTTATTTTCAAATTTGTGGTATTTCTATCATTGTAATAATAAAGCCAGAAGTAAAAGGTGTACTTTAAATGATGTGGTTCACCTCTTGCTAACACTGCATTAATGTTTGAGTTATAAAATTAGAGTTCTATTAGGCTACGAAGGTACGGGGCTACTTAATTAAAGGTCTGTAATTTTGTGGATTAGCTCATCTCTGTTTCAGCCAAAATATTGATTTTATTTATTTATTTTTGCAGCTTGAAAACAAAGAGCTACGTGAACTATTGTCAATCAGCAAAGAGTCTTTTGAGGTCAGGAGAGAAGATATGCGTGACAGTGAGGCTTAGGTCACAACATATCCACATCTTGACTTCAGAGACTGTTATGAAGCCACCCAACAGGGATGGTCTGTAACTTGTTCTTTCAGGTGTTTCACGTTTGTTTTACCTATCCAAATGTGTGGCCTGTTTCCTTCGTTATTCTGAAGTCACACACTCCTAATGACAAAGGCTTGCATTGCTGCTCTGTCATAAATTGCAGCGTACAAATGTGTAACAACGAAGTACTTTTGGTGCATACTCTTTTGTGGCAGTTTATCTCATGAATGTTATTTTTTATAAGCTTTAGTCAGTAATTCCAACTGCGCAGATGTCACTTAAAACTGCCTCATCAGTATCTGGCAAACGTAATGCAGATTCTGGTTGTTTTATGTGCTGGAAAGAATAAGATAATTTGAAAACTACATTATAAATGATAGGTTCACATCTTGCTTTGTCTGCACAGAGTGGGTATCTGGAGCTTTTGCTTTGCTTTGAAGACCCAACACTCAGTATTTGGTAACATTCATACTTGAAAAACTGCTAAGAGCCAGAATATCAGATGGCCAACAGAGCACTTTAATTACTAACTTACATCAGGAGTATAGTTTGCCTTGATTTAGAGAAGACCAGTGAGAATGACCCTTCCTCACACATCAGCATGTTTTTATTGCAGATCTGAGGCTTTTTTTTTTTTTTTTTTTTTTTGCTGTAGGCAGCCCTGTTCTTTCTTTACCTGTGCTTTGAGGTGTACGGATGCTGATGTGAAAGCAGTGTGCTCACGTCAAGGTAGTTTCTATTACAGAGAATACAGTGCTTTCAGATCAAAGCTTTTTGGCCTCCCACCACTTTGATTTTCAGGAAGGGTGAGGTGTGCCTCAAACTAAACCAAAACCAACCACATGGACAGGTTTTTAATGTCACGTTGCAGGTAAGTCTAGTGACAGATGTTAGTTATTCCAAAATCCTATATTGGTTGAAATTGAAGTTGCAGTGTAGCAGGATTTTATCAATATTGTGATGCTTTCAGTGGCATTTTAATGTTGTTGTTTTTTTCGGTCTTTCTTGCCAACGATCAGGATAATACTTCAGTAACAGTAAACATCCAATTGTTAATATTATGTTTTTTATGCTGTTTTTATCTGTGCAAGAATTTTGATAGATACAGAAGGCAATTTAGATTTTATCACAAGACAATTTGGAATATGCAGAGAAAAGTGTTTAGTTGATAGAAGGGGATTCCTGTTTAGGAACATTGTACAAAATTCTTTCCTGAAATATTTTAAGAGGGAATAATAATAATAAAAAAAAAAATACTACAGGCACCATTTTCTCAGTTGTATTCTGTTCTGTGAAGCGTGGCAGTAATTCGGACTGTGCTGCCTGTACTCGGCTGCTGCATCCTGCTCTCATTTTACTTTATTGCTTGAGTCAAAAATGGTGTGTTTGAGCTCTCTGAAATGGTTGTGGCGGTGTGTTTTTACCTCAATTACCAAGTGCAGGTTAACGTTCCTATAAGGAGGAGGCTTGCTGATTTATCGCTAGTATCCAGTCAGCTGAACTGGCTCAGCTGCACCACCACCATCTCCATGTTATTCGGTGGGGAAGCAGCCACGCTGCCCGCTTAGCAGCTGCCGCAGCCCAGCACAGAGTACAGCAAGGCAGGGAGGCGGACCGGCAAAGCCGCCGTCAGCTCCTCTCCCCGCCCGCTCAGTCGCGGAGCTCCCAGCCCGTCCCACGCGGAGACCGGCCGGCTGCGACGCATACCCCGCGCCTACGGTGCCGTTGGCCGCCAGCCTGCGCGCATGCGCACCATGCGGCCGACGGCGACGGCGCAGACGCGGCTCCGCCCCACGTTCTCGCGAGAGGCCGGGATTTATTCCTACGTGCGGTGCCGTGCTGCTCATGGCGGCGCTGGAGCGGGGGCGCTGAGCTGTTGGGGTGAGTACGGCGGGGTGGGGAGCGAAGGGCGCCCGGCGCTGCGACGCACGGCACCCGCGCGGCTCAAGGGGAACCGGGGTCTACGGGAAGCGGCGAAAGAGGCGGAGGGCCGCCTTCGATCCCGGGGCCCGGCCGTCTCCTGTCGCGGCGGTCTCGGCGGGGCGAAGCCGCCCGGGGCCTCCCCCCGGCCGCGTACGTGGGGTGACGGACGTGTGGGGGCGGGGCGGGCCGGCCGTCCCCGGGGATGAAGCGCTGGCGGCCTCGGGCCCGTCGGGCCGTGCCGTCGCGCGCACTACGTTTCCCGGCGTCCCGCGGGCAGCCGCCCCGCCGCGGGGCCGGGTCCCGCCGGGCTGCGGGGCGGGGCCGTGGCGGCGCCGGGACTCGCCTTCCCGGCGTGCCTCGCGCCCGCTCCGCCGCGTGGTCTGCCGGGACCT